ATTATTTACGTGACAACCTTGAGGACGTTACCGGGTAAATAAAAAAGAGATTGTTAAACTAACTGACCTGTACGCTATATAGCTTTTCACCTCTTCTTTTCCCCTTCTTCTTCTACTTCTTCTTCTTCTCCTCCTCCTTCAACTGCCTGAAAGTTGGAAGAATTCTAGGCGTCGCACTGGCCATCGTAACACAGTGGCGCATGTGGATGATGATTTAGAATCCCTATCCAGAAATGTTATTTTCAATCACAATGACTTCCGTCTTTCTTCAAATGACATTTCCCTACTATCATGTTTCTTCCCATCCGTGTCTGTGGCAACAGTAGAGATACATCTCAAAGAAGGTCCGTGAAAAATAGCAGCCGGACCGGATGTTGTCTCATCTTTCCTCCCTGAATCTTGCTGTTCTCAGATAGCCCCAATTTAGCGCACCATATTGACATGTCTTTCATGGAGTCCGAGATCTCGGACGTCTGACGTACAATGCAAATCACCCTCATCCCTAAAAAACCGCTAAGTTTCGTCCTAAATTATTTCGTCCAATCATCTTCTCTTCCGCAGTAATAACACTTGCTAAAAGAGTTGCTCTGGATATTATAGAGTCATTCTCGCAGTTTTTCCGACCCTTTACAATTTGTGTCAAGGGTATTGAGAAGGACCACATTTGACTGTCGGTAGACTGTGGATCGTGCCATACGTGATTTGTGGTAAAGGGAGTTTTATGGGTGGGACAGCACGCTAGACAAAAAATGAAAGAAATGCCTGGATTTATGCCGAAAGTCTTATCCTACGCTATTGTATGACAACGGAAATGAGAGTATTAATTAAAGATTAGACAAAAAGCAAATTTCATAAAATAACGAATTTTGAGTTAAGGTGTGAGGTCGTGGGAAGAATTCTCTGTTGGAAGTTTAATTGCTGCAACAGCCTTCAAATTTATGTCAAGATAAAACCCCATATGACACGATCCACACTCTGACAGTTAAGTGGGATCTTTCTCTAAACCGTTGCCGAATTTGAATATGAAGCCGAGCGTAGTACCTTCGATGCTGTCACTCTTGTGATGCACTCTGCCCGAAGAGAACTAGATGCGTGTTACCGCGATGCGCATGTATTTTCTTGACTACTCCTCCGGCTTCAATACCATCCCGTGTCCTCTTCTCCTTACCAGAACATTCACGTACGGCTCTCCAGGCTGGGTTGTCTCCTGACTTGGCTATTGCTTTACTACTTGACGCACTTAATTTGTCAAATCTGGCAAGCAAAAATCTACGTTCCTTCCCCATGACTGTGAACTTCTTCAAGGCTCCATCTTCTTCTCCCACAAATCCTCCCTTCACGCTGGTGATCTAAGATTCCCAAACGACTGTCTATTAGGTAGGTATGCTGATGTGGTTGTTGGACATCCTGTACTACTTCTGATTCCGTTGACGCCCTCCCAAAGGGTCATCCTCTTTCCGGTACCTTGACGTTAATTTGTCATCCAATCTTTCCTTTTCCCTACATATACAGTCCCTTTTTTTACAAAACTTCCTTAACTTTTTTCTCGTATTCGTCTCTTACGTTCCTACCACACACACACCAACCCCTAGTCTGGCGATTCATAGATGCCGGCATTCTTCCTCTCCTTCGTTATTGCTCTCCTGGCATTTTTCCTGCTCCACTCAAAAAAGACCTCTTAATTTTAAAACTAGTCATCCGAATGCTCTCTTCTGCTGCCGAGGTTTCTTTTGCCTTTTTAGTCGATAGTATCCTACAACGACATTTCAAAATCGCCAAGCAATTTGCTGGTCGAGTTTTGAATGTCGTTGCCCATTCCATGCATTCTGAACTTATCTCTGCGAACCCTTCCCGTCTAATGCGGCGAGGCTTTTGACTTGTCTTTTGTCGTAAATCGGCATACCAACATTCTTTATTGCCAATTCTGGCGCGCTAACTTACGTGTGGACAGAGAGAAATACGGAAGCTAAGACTCGAAATGTCCCCATAATTGGCGTTCCTTTTTGTGTAAACTTTTTCACTCTTGAGTAATTTACTTACTTATTTTCTATCCACAATGAATGGAGCCATTATTGTTTAAAGTTTTTAATGTGTGATTCCAAAATAAAGCAGTCTCCTATTTATCTCTCTCTGGCTAGATCGTAGTTGGTAGCCAGAAATAGGGAAGCGGACGGCGACCTTAACTCTAATCCTACCCTAACCCTAACCCCAACCTCAAACTTAAACGTTGACCGTTAACCTTAACGGCAACCCTGACCCTAACCCTAACCGAAATCGTAAACGTAACCGTAGTCCTTAGACACAGCCGTAACTGAAAAACCTGACCGTAATAATGAAACCTAATTATACGCTCAAGCCCTAAGCGTAACCCGAAAACCTAAGCCTAAGGGCATAACCCTACCCCGAAAATCGGAAACCATTAACCGGTATTCTAATCCTAACCTCAGACGTAAAACGGAAGCCAGATGGGTCGGACGTGATTACGAACCCCACAAAATAGCCCCAGTAAACAAACCCCTCAGCCACCTGTAATACGGGGCGTGGCTACCAACTGCGATCAGGCCGAATTATCAAACACCTATTTTGGCCATCTAACTTCTAAATCAGATTCATTAGGGAGCCCACTAACAGTGCACTTTGCCGTGTCTAATGCGCCTCGAAATACTGTCGCGTTATGGGGTCCATTACTGAATACGCCCTCCCCCTCCTCCAAAATGCGGCAGCTGAATTCCCACGATGATTTACAGGAAAATATCATGGTAGTACTCATAAGACCAGTTGACGAGCATATGTTTGCTTTCAATAAATTCTCGTCAGGCCAGTACATTTATATGGGAACAAGGTAGGAGTACAACATGTCAATGGCTGCAGAAATAGATCTGAGTTCGTCTCAAAACACAGGCGCAGTGTGCGTATGGGGGGTGAGGTGGGTATGCAATGAGAGCGGAAGGGCCTGGAGAGTCGCAGGTTTAGTCAACCTTGGACCGAACGTGATTCTTCTGTGGTTTTATGCAACCTGTTGGCGGTCGCATCAGCTGTCGCTAACAGCTGTTGGGCCATTAGCTTAGGGTAGCTCAATGGGACCTTATAGATCACACGAAAAGATCCGCCGGGGTCCACACGATGTCCGGAATCAACAACTTGCGGAGAACAGCGCTGCTTATACTCCTAGTTTGACTTTTTCTCAGCCATACCGAGCGGTGTTCTCGTGTTCTCTTGGATAGACGCCGACTTGTACGACCAATATAACCTGCTCCACAGGAGCAAGTGAGGGAGTAGATGCACATTGATGTGTTCCGAGTTAACAAACTATACTTATCCTCCCCGCGTAAAATAAAATCAGTAGAAAATAGCATTTGAAGACCTGCTGCTGGTAAGGTTCGTGGGACAACTTGACCAAGGCGTCTTTTGAGTAGTTTATTTGAAGCTTCCTCCTGAAAAGGGATGTTGAGGAACAGCATTTTCTTTTCAGCAGTCAGCTTGGTGGATTTCTCCCGGTTATTCGGCAACGTTCTCGAGATAAACCTTTCGGGGTACCCGTTGACGCGGATCAAGTCCTGGATCTTTCTAAATTCCTTCTCGATGCTACTTGCAAGACAGATTTTTCTAGCGCCTTGCGTCAAAGACCGGACAAGGGTTAGTTTTTTTGGAGGGGCACGAGCCTAGCGAAGTTCATGTATTATCTAGACAAGGTTTTCTTCAGCCAGATGCCACCCCTACTCCTTTCGCTCATAAATGTACTGGCTCGAGGAGAGTTTATCGAAAGAAAATTTTCAGAAATTTGACCAGCGGATTGCGAGCAACCGAGGTGGTGGAAACGCTGTGGACTGCTGTTCGCGGGTGGAGAGACAGCATGTGGTTTGTGTCATGAATGATTTAAGTCTACGGCAACCCAGAGCGGCAAAAAGGGAGACAATTGGTCGCCACGCCAGTACTGGCTGACAACAGAATTCTTCTGGTATGTTCTACTGGCCGTGGTAATTCATTCCTTGTTTCTGTATTTCAATGCCCCTCATCCAGTTTGACTAACGACGTAACATTATTTAAACTCTTGAGGTTTAAATGGAATATGCAAATGAAAAGGAATGAACGATGACGAACTTACGGTAGATGAAATGCGATTGGCCGACAAGGCTGTAGCTAGCACACTTCACGACTGGGCAGGGGCGCAGTATGTCACCTCCCTCAAGGAAAAATATCAGTGACCCCATGGGATCTTGTGTCATCGTCTATTTTATGATTGACGCTTCCGCGCTCTCGTAAGTATATGGAAATATAATGTACTTTTTTATGAAAAAGAACTGGAAAAACTGCAGAAACTGCTCAATTTTTGCTTACAGCGTGTTCAGAGTGCCTACACCCAAAAACAAGAGCGAACAAATCACTGGAGACCACTTGCATTTGCTCTCCCCATAGTGCTGTCATCTTAATCCTGTCGCCTCCTCATTGGCGATTCCACTGTTCCCGAAGGGCATTGGGCGTCAATCGTGCCCGTTTTGTGTGATGTGACATCCGCTCATATGTGGTGCAGGGGGTTAATGGGTTAGCGTGTGGCGAATAGATTAGTCAGCGGTGGCTTACCTCAGGTATTGCAAGACTGGACACAAATATTCCTGACTTAACTGTGACGCACATTGACATGCGCGCTGGTTTCCACTTTAGTCGTCTAGATTGGGATATTTCGTCCGCAAATTCGAGGACTTGGGTCAAATGATTGTAATCGGCAGTTAGATGAAGAGGCCATTGACAGTACTCGAAAACAAAACCGGCAACCCCAAATCGCGTCAACGCCCACTCTTCCATCATGACAACTTCATCACCGAAGCTCATAAACGGCTCACGTATTCACTTTAGTGCTGTTTGTTTACTAGACCTTAACGCCATTTAATTAGTCAAAAATGCGATTGGCTAAGCCTGAAATGACAAGAAGCATAAAATTAGGAAGCAGAATCAAAATTGACTTTGTTACCTCGCAAACGTGTTGCGACGTCGCTTTCGTCATGGCTTCTAAACAGACCTTCGTGACACTGAACAGCGGTTACCAAATGCCCCAACTCGGATTTGGCACATACCTGGTACGATTCCAACTCAATCCGTCTACTTGTAGTCAACACCACACGAAGTGGAAATGCCCGTACTTTGGGCAATCGATGCAGGCTATCGGCATATCGATTGCGCCCACATATACAGGAATGAAGTGGAAGTTGGTAGGGCCCTCAAGAAGAGATTTGATGATGGGACTGTAAAGCGGGAGGATATGTTCATCACGTCGAAGGTATCCTGGAATTCTGCATGGTGACCATACAACTGCTGGTAGTTGTGGTGCGATGCACATCGTCTGAGCGATGTACGTCCGGCTTGTGAAGAGAGCTTGCGCAAGTTGGTACTGGACTACCTGGATCTATATCTCATTCATTTTCCGGTGCCATTTAAGGTTACTTGCCACTTGTACATTTTACAGATGTTCGTATGCAGGTGAAAGAGGGTCAAAAATTCTCAGCAACAGACCCCAGCGTGTTCGAGTTTGAGGACGTGCCGTTGGAGGAGACGTGGAAGGTCGGTTCGTCTTTTGATTCTATTTGGCTTCAAATTGTCAATGAGCTACAAGTAATTTTGAATTTATAGCTGAGTTGGTAGATTTCAACGGGATTTCAATGTGAGCTAAAAGATGGCAGACGCATTGGATCTGACATCGAAGCTGGCCTTAGTCGTATCTGGCTCTCTAACACTTTCCAAACCCGACAGGCTAAAATGTTAAGCAAAAATTAAAGCAAACCTCGATGGGCTAGAAGCCCTAGACTGAACATTGTGTGCACTACCTGATCATTAAATTCAAACGCACGGGGCTTCATTTTGGAGGTGGCGAGTTTCACGCGATTCATAGCGCCATATTGACTACATACAAATGATATATTACCGCAGGAAATGTTAACTGAAATTCTGAAGTGTGTGCTTGTATTTCAAAAGGTTACTTTCGTAGAGTTGGTCTACTACATATCAAGGTATATCATGTTAAAATATTCTAATTACAGTGAGTGTCCGATCTCATGCTATGTTAGCCAATATTCAGGAAGGCATTTTCGACTATAAGGGATTACCTGGGTGGGGTTGTAATACTGAATATCTTGCGGCATTATTCTATAATATTTCGGACTCGGCAGGATGTCGGCTTTTGAATGCATACTTTTAATCTTTTGTAGAAATCGTACTCGGTAAAATAATGACTATTTATATTATATGCAATTTTCAGGCTAATTTACGATGATCTTATAAATTCAACAATATTTTACAAAAAACATGGACGGAAATATTCTTTCCCTCGTTTAATCGATAATCACGTCTTCTTTATATGTGATACCCGAATAAGGACTATAATTGGGTTCTGAAAATGTTTCAAATTATGAGATTTTTAGAGACCGTACAATGTCCACTCGTACAGCATCGTGCCTGTCCGTTTACCGTATGAAATGTAAAACATAGTCCGCACCCACTGCGAACTTTTATGGTCTCAATGTGGTGTTTTTATAAAGGCATATAAAAGTATATGATTTTCCTTACTCGAACGCATGCCCCTTGCAGGCTGAAATCACTAAGCGCTTATGTAAGGGCTGATCATTCTTCAAATTATTCGGGAATTAAAAAACTTTTTAAAACCTAATTATACTCCTTTTTCGGGTATAACATATAAAAATGGCGTGATTATCTTTCAAACCAGCTAAAAAATATTTCTTATCTTGTATCTATAAAATATATTTGGATTTAAAAGATCACCGATAGTCATTCTGAAAAATGAATGCTAAATATGTAGTCATTTTTCAGCAAGTACGGTTTCTACAGGCGATTGAAAAAGGGCATTCAAAAGCCGATATCCTACAGAGTCCGAAATATTATAGGATTATGCCGCACGATATTCAGCATTACAATCTCACCTAGGCAGACCTTCCCAATTGAAAACGCACTCCTGAATTTTAGCCAACATTTCATGAGATCGGTCACTCATTGTACGTCAGAATGCCGACTCTCGAGTGAGTTTCTTACTGACCGTTTGCATAGACTGCATTTCAAGTAAAATGAGCGCTTAATTAACAAGAATTATTCCCAGCGACTTTTGATATCTTTATCAATTATAATATATGCCCTAAAATGCGTACACAAAATACTTCTTCTTTTGCTTATTTAGTGGCAAATTACACCTTCTCTAAAATTTGTACGCTGAGAAAGAGGATCTTCAAGTTTTAAACATAATTTCTGAATTCTAGAATAATTTCGACTAAGACCTGCCGCTACACTTGTACTCAGTCTTTCCGAACCGCAACCTGAAGACTTTTCGTTCGACGGAAATCACTTTTTTCTATATGCCATTATGAAGGGGACATATTGGACTTATAAAATTTTGAATGGATGGGAGACACGTTGACCTGTGCTAATACGTTTCTGTACGATCAAAAATTTCACGGTCTTAAAAATCGCCTAATTAGAAATGTTTTTAAAATTGAACGATACGTCTTCAGCAAGTATTAAGTTTGAAGAATGCGTAATTTGTTACCACAGAATATTTCAAGGCATGTTTTCTATAAAATGTAATTTGATTTATAAAGGCATCGAAAATCAATGGGAAACATTCGTGCTACTCAAGTGGTCAATTTTTACTCAGTATAATTTATCATATATGAAGCTCGTTTGAAAGCCGGCATTCCGACGTGGCGTGGACAGCCTAACACTATGCGACAAGATAGTTAATATGATAACCATACTTAAGTAAGCTTTTCAAATTGACAGTGAGTTTCAAAACTATGGTTAAAATTTCACGAGATAGCCCACGTTGTAACCAGCTGGTCAACGCTTGGAATTCTCCACGCCCTCCTCGCAAGTGCTTCCACCTTTGGCCACTGTCGACATTCCCCTTCCCCCCTTTTGTAACCCTCTTTCGAACGTGATCGGCGTTCTCTTAATTAACTAGTTTTGTATTCTGATCTTGAGCTGGGAATTCGATTTGCTCAAACAGTAACAAAGGAATTCTTTGCCTAGGGTATCCATTGTTGAGGCTTGTACGTTTTTTATTATTACCATATTCTATCATTAGTATCGTATATTTACCGCAATTTGTTTTGGCTTATATGCGTAAATAAAACTGCAAAGAATTCTACAACCTATCTTATGTAAACTAAGAAAGAACCAGCTGCATTCCAGCTCATGACCAGTAGCATATCATAATAGATTTGAAATTCACTTGGACGTTTTTCAGGCTAAGAGTCTAAGTGCTTTATATTAGCTGGCCAATTTTCGATCTCTTCTCCTCGTCCTCTCCCATCCACCTTGTCTGTGCGTGTCAAGCTGACTGGGGATGATGGGAATCCACTGATGAACAGGACTGCTCACATCTGGGTCAAGCAGTGATCCAAAATCGGCTAAACACGGCTCTGATTTTTAAGGAAGTACTCGTGCTGGGATAATGGTAGGGCAGTCTCAGTGTGGTACCGTTTTGTAATACTAACTGCAGTTAGAAAAGCTATGCTCATTGGTCCGTGTCTCTGTACGTCGGATGGAAATCGGCTCATATGTTCGTAGCAGCCATCGCATCAAAAGTGAGAAGATTTGTTTTGGGAGCTTACTTCCAATTCAGGCCAAACTACATGGAAGGAATTGTTTTTACTTCTGAATGTTCCCAGCCCCCGCGCATATGTCAGACGGTGCATTTTTGATCGATATTTCTACATTCTACGTTCCTTGTCTTCCACGCGCATTTTATGTTCATCTGCGTCCAGGGCATGGAGGGGCTAGTTGAGGCCGGACTCGTTCGGTCAATCGGCCTCTCGAACTGCAATGAGTCTCAAATTGAACGAATTCTGGCCGTCTGCAAAATACCTCCTGCGGTAAACCAAGTTGAAGTTTCAGTGCATTGGTTAAATGACCGTCTGGTAAATTACGCCCACTCGAAGAGCATTCATATCGAGGCATACGCACCTCTGGGTTCTCCGACCCTAAGGAAGTAAGTCAGAGCTGTTTACCATTTGATGACCAGCCGGTAATTTCAACGACCAGCTAACTTCACTTGTATAAAAATGAACAATGTATGTTAGCTTACTTGTACATATCGCCTAGGTGCATTCTTCGGAAAAATAGTAGCACCACCTTGTTTCAGTATGTTGCCATCATTTGTGAGATTTGATCATGCTTAGTCGTGGAATGGACATTTAAATCATCGAGCCTGATTTGGGAGAGCGTTCATGATTCCGGGGTTCTGAGAATTCTAGTTAATCCCAGACTAGTTGTGTTGGACTAAATTCGGGAAATCAACTTGATCTTGAAGGGATCTTACGCCGTGAGTACGCTCAAAGCCCTCTACAGCGCATCGAATGTCTGCCGGTATAGCGTCATCCGGAAGAAATTCATTTCGGCAGCCAATGCAGTTACAGTACATAAACACAACGATATGTACATGTACTGGAAGATGGGCAACCTAGTATGGTAACTTTTTAAACTCATGAAATGTGCCGAAAAGTTGCTAGTTGCTCGCAAGCCGGCACGCGTGGACGGACAGAAACTCTGGATTAATAATGGAACAGTGACTAATAAATTTGAATAGAATTGGCCGATGCGATCGTAAACATACCAGTTTGTGTGTGTATAGTAAGAGAACTCTCCTTCATGAAAATTATTCACATTTTTTCTGCTGCTGAGAACGTGGACTTTCAGATCGCTATAATTTTCAGTGTTTGTGATCGCCTACCCATAAGGGTGTATTTTGTAGTGTAGGCATATCAGTGCCTTAAAAATAAAATACCTATTTGAAACATTCACCGAACCAATGATTACTTGGGCATCCTTTTTATGCAGACGTCCGTTTCGACCATATCTGTAGACTCATCGAAATATTAAAACTCATTCCCAAAAAATGAACGTACACAAAGAAAGTCGGACATGAGTACCATTCAGATCGACTGAAAGACCTTGCCTAATAGGTTATCCCTTCACAAAATTTTAATAAGGTATGCCGCTGACGGGTGTCCGTGTACTTTGTCTTTTTCTAAGGTAAAATTAAGGTAGAGTGGGGTCTTTTGGTCGGTTTATTACCTCCCTGAAAACATAATGATAATTTTTCTTCTGCAGACGAATGAAACTAATGAGGTATATTTGCTTACATTGCAACTCCGTTCTAGAGTTTTAATCTCGCAACAAGATGTTACTAGAATTGCTACTTTTCTGACCGTTGTGCTTTTAAATTACGTACTAGTAGAGGTTATACCATACAAACTTATTGCATCGTACGCTTTGAAGTTGGCATAGTCACTCTAGCGAGGGTCTTTTCATGGTTAGTTATTGAGTATTCGGAAATGGCTGGAAAATATCAGAACGCATAAACAAGGGATTTCCATTAGGGGCTGCTACTTAGTTTTACAGCATAAATCACACAGGTTTACAAAGCCCGCTTTTAAAAATCAATAAACCGACCAAATAATCCAAAAACGACCTCCGTGCTTACGCCCTGACCAGTCTGCTTTACTTGTAAATGAGATAACATTTTCAAGCTTAGGTTGATCTCCTTCGAGAGAAAAGCACGCATGAATGCACAAACTTAGCTTAGGACACCTACTAGCATAGAAAATTTACTGAGCGCCAGGTAACGTAATTTTCTACTCACATATGCAAATACTGTGACAGATAAAATTATTTATAAACATATTTTGTATGTAAAAGCGATATTTTCTAGAAGGGACCAGACGAAAAAATAAAATGGGCAACATCTTAAGTGCATAAAACTAATTTCATTGCTTTCATCATAATTAATCATGAGTTAGGTCACATACTGTAAATATATCTTGAACTAAATAAGTTCTTGGAGAAATCCGGTAAACCCCATTTCGCAAAATTTCGGCATGCCTACCAAGGCCATCGTCAGACTTGCAGTAAATTTACAAAACGGTCAAAAATTTAAAGATGTTTAAAATAGATCCTGATTTTGCATCCCTGATAATAAGCCTTTGCCATACGCTGATACTCGTCTCGCATTGGCTGTCACCTTTCCATTTTTTCCTCAGATCGTTGTACACAGCGTTTAGTTCGGTGTGCCTGTTCATACATGCGTAATCAAACTCTAAGCTATTTAAACTTCGCAGTCTTTCTTGGATTGATAGGCATCACTACGGGGTGTAGTGCTATTTCTAGGTGCGGATTCTTGCCGTACCGGCCACCTGCGTTATCTTTCATCACTTGGTCATGACGTCGGGCCTAGGTGGGGGCAGTAGAGGGGTTGCATTAGATGCAGCGTAAGTCAACTAATACTATTAAATACTAATTCCCGTGCAAGTCACCATCCCTGTTTTCAGCCTGACGACGGACATCGTCGAAATCGACGGTCGACTGTGGTCGTTATATACATATGTTTGTATATACACATATATCTGAAGAAAAGTGAGTCCTTTGGGAAAATGTGCAAACTTTATTTCGCATTTTCTCGACGCTGGATTTCCAAGTTGTTGCCACATCTGTCAAAAGGCATAAATAACAGTTGAAATTTGAACGCGCACGAAAAATCGATATTGCTTTGTCACTGCTGCCAGTGGGTCGATGCTGTGAGCTGACACCACATTTTGGTTAGCTATCGCCTTTGCCAATTTTCTTTGAAATTGGTGTACATGGCGTCCAGCTCGATGTGCCGACTGATGCATGAATCATCAAAATGAATGACCTCCAGACAGCTAACTGTTCTGTCATGCTCCCACCCTATCAAACGATTCGTTACAGCGAGAAGGAACTGGATTGTTCCAATCAGCCGCCAAAACCAAAACATTGGCGAACGCTTCCCTACATGTGTCTGAAATCTTTGAGAGACACCTGAGGAAGCAACAAATACAAGTGACTCACAAACCGACGACCACGCTACGCAATCAGCTTGTGTACCCTAAGGATACGGTTGGCTATTTGGATAAAAACGAAGTAGTCTATAAGATTCCATGTGACAATTGTAATGCAGTATATTGTGGTCAAACCGGAAAATCCGCCTCTACACGTCTACATGAACACCAATTGGCAGTGAAGAGGCGGAACCACTTATTCCCAGTCGCCATGCATACTCTTGAAACTGGGCACAAATTCGCTTGGGACTAAACATGCAGTGTCGGCTCCTGCCAACATAAGAAAAGCCGAGAATTCCTAGAGGCCATTCAGTCTGATGACTCATTCATCAATCGACGCATTAATCTTGACGCCATGTTCATAAATCTCAAGGAGAAATGGAAAAGTTAATACTCAATCAAGACGTGACATCAGCCCACAGCATTGACCCATCCATAGCCATGACAAAGCAATGTCGATTTTTTGGGCATGTTTACATTTTGACTGCTTCTTCACAGTTACTACACGTCTAAAGACGAGCTGGGGAAGCAGACTCGAAAAGTTTCGAAATAAAGTTTGTTCATTTTCCCAAAGGACTCATTCTTCTTCGAAAAAAAATATATACTTGTGTGCTGATTGAAGCTGATTGCATGTGCGTATATAGCGCAAACCACTAACATTCGCATTAAGCAAAACGAGGCAGCGCATCCTGAGCTAAAACCGGCTGGTCTAACGTGGGTGTAACCTCCAGTTTCGTTCGTTTGCTTTGGTGTGCGCAGTTGTAAAAATACGAACTAGGGGTTGACGCCGGAAAACTCACCTAAACCTACCTGGTCTATGATTTTCCATAAGCATTTACGCATTCTAACTGTGGAGCGGTGAACAGTTTGGACCTATAGCTCGTACGCTCTCGAAGCATTCTTTGAACGCGGTAGGTATGTCACTTCCACGCGGCTTCTTTCCACTGAGGGCAGACTTGTCCACATGTGATAACTGTTATGCTCTTTACCGGCTAGTCCGCACAAACTATTCTTTTGGTCACGTGTTTTGTGCTCCGGCCAATGCAGTGCGTTCAGACCCGCGCGCGAACGTGACAACGCAGTCTGACACGTCAATGCTTCTGCCCCGCATGACTGTTGGGGGCTGGCCCAGAAGGAAACTGTCAAGTTTAGTCAGTTAGGCTTCATAGATGACAGGGACTTAGTGGAGAACACTAGCCGATATGTCCGTGCAAAAGAGGGTGGGCGTTTTCTGGTTTCAATGTAGGAAGCTTACAGACCACAAATGCATGGCCAGGAGCGCAGTCAAGAGCGTTAGTAGTGAAATTGCGGTTCCCAGGTGGCATATCATAGGTATATATAATGGTAGATAGGCGTTCAGCAATCGTTCTTAAGGAACTCACTCGTTCCGTTTTGTCTTACGGGCTCTCTATCGAGCTCAACCAGCAGCCGCACAGCGGCGCATGATATAGGCAATACGCTATTACCGAAAAAGACAAGGGAGACTGGAATGGGCATTTCTGGTTTATTAGCCGTCGTCGGACAGTCATATCCAAACCCATGGTATGGAACATGTGGCCTCGAACGATCAGTGAGCGCCCCTCTACCATTGCATATTCCCGATCGAAACCGACGAAAAAACGGGCCCGTGGCCCAGTGGTTAGAGGAGTGGACTTCTAATTAACAGTCGCCAGTTCGAGCCCCAGGTGTTCCACGCCTTAGAGTTGGGTATGGCTGTCTGACGACGGCTAATAAACCTAGAAATGGCCATTCCAGTCCCCTCTGTTTTGTCAGTATTAACATTCTGCATATATATGTCAAGTGAATAATTTCGGAAATTACTCAGTGCAGGACTTGGAGTTAAATTTCCGGGACAGGACTTTTTACGGTCAGAACCGAAATATCAATAAACATTTGAGTCAAAGACAATCAACTACTGTGGAATAACCCCGTAATGCCCATTCTACAAACAAGCAGTAATACGAGTAGTATGAATTCCATATGGTAAAGGTATTATACCGTACTCCCGACATAGATACTTGCTAAAAGCCCAGACGCGTGTTTCGCCGATGTTCTGTCGCTGCGTGACACAGCTGCGAGGGCATTGCTTGGTTATTCCACAGTATTTGCTTGTCTTCGACTCAAATATTCATTGAAATTTCGGTTCCGACCCTAAAAAGTCATGTCCCGGAAATTTAACTCCAAGTCCTGCACTGAGTAATTTCTGAAATTATTCACTTGATTATTCTCTGGAGTTCATATACCAGAAACCGCTAGAGAACGTCGGGAGTCCCACTTCGGGTTTGGGTATGGCTGGCTGACGACGGCTAATAAGTCAGAAATGGCCATTCAAGTCTCCATTGTCTTTGTCGGTAATACCATTCTGCCTAGATGTCATGCACCGCTGTGCGGCTGCTGGTTGTGCTCGAGAGAGAGAGAGCCCTTAAGGCACAGCGGAACGAGTGAGTTCCGTATGAACGATCGGTGAGCTCCCTCTACCATTATATATATAATATCGCACTTGGAAATCGCATTTTCACTATTAACGTTCTTACCTGCGCTCTTACCTCACCTCCCATATATATGTACATCACACATATCTTTTACATGGCATAATATGTTTGAGGAGAGCTGTGTGCATGACTTCCCAGTCTGTGAAAATGGGTAGACGAAACAACAACTCGAAACGTTAAATCTTCAATGCACCTACCCCGGTGAACCCCTCCGTTCCATTTAAGAACGTTAGAATGAAGAGTGTCAACTACCAGTCTACATTTCCGACCTGTGGCTCAAACGTCCACATCTCCTGTTGCCAATTCATTATAGCAAATCATTTATGGTAGTGTGTGATTTGGAAGAACTGAGAAGAAGGGAGGAGATGGAGAAGACAGACTGATAGATAATTGCTCTTGTAGGACCAAACAATCCTTGACAGTGCTGTAAGTGGACGGCATCATTAATCATGAGTTAGGTCACATACTGTAAATATATCTTGAAGTAAATAAGTTCTTGGAGAAATCCGGTAAACCCCATTTCGCAAAATTTCGGCATGCCTACCAAGGCCATCGTCAGACTTGCAGTAAATTTACAAAACGGTCAAAAATTTAAAGATGTTTAAAATAGATCCTGATTTTGCATCCCTGATAATAAGCCTTTGCCATACGCTGATATTCGTCTCGCATTGGCTGTCACCTTTCCATTTTTTCCTCAGATCGTTGTACACAGCGTTTAACTTGATGTGCCTGTTAATACATGCGTCATCAAACTCTATGCTCTTTAAATTCTGCAGCCTTTCTTGGATTGACAGGCATCATTACGAGGTGTAGTGGTATGTCTAGGTGCGGATTTTTGCCCTACCAGCCACCTGCGTCCTCATTCACCTCTGATCTTCTTAACTTGGTCATGACACCGGACCTAGCAGGGGGCGGTGGAGAGGTTGTATTAGATGCAGCGTAAGTCTACTAACACTACTAAAAACTAATTCCCGTGCAAGTCACCGTCCCTGTTTCCAGCCTGACGACGGACATTGTCGAAACCAACAGTCGGACTGTCTGCATATGCACATCTATTTGAAGAAAAGTGGGTCCGTTGGGAAATTGAACAAACTTTATTTCGAAAATTCTCGACGCTGGATCTCCAAGCCGTTGTCACATCTGTAAAAAGGCATAAATAACAGTTGAAATTTGAACACGCCCCAAAATCGACATTGCTTTGTCAGTGCTGCCAGTGGTCTGACACCACATATTGGTTAGCTATAGGCTTTGACACTTTTCTTTGGAATTTTTGTAAATGGCATCCAGCTCGATGTGCCGACTGATGCATGAATCATCAAAATGAATGACCTCCAAACAGCTAACTGTTTTTTTGTGCTCCCACCCTATCAAACGATTTTTTACACCGCGTATATATACATATATATGATAAGATAAGGCGATCACAGGAACCATGGATTTATTTGCCTGACTTTTGGAAAGCAGACAAACTTCCATCATCGGAGGTGGGCTGCGTACTGCACTTCATGGCATTTAAGGGTTTTCTTTCGTTCTAGCGTGACGCTGACTTCCAGCGCGCTGCATCACAAGGCTTGACGATTGTTGTCATGGCGGCATCGGTTCCTCCTCATCATTCGTCGGGTGTGGGGAGGAGAGCGGCGTTGGGGTGACCGCGGCCATTGCTCTTGTTTGCATTGTCCGTTGTCCGCCCTCCACGTATCTCGCCTACCTACCCCGTTCGCACCTGCCCGTAACCGTGTGGACGGTGGTTGTCGTGCCAGTGTTGACGTCGGGCTGGGGGTCCTGTCACTGTCGCGTGTTCTCACCGAGTGCTCGCGTCTGTCTGCGCCCGGACCCAGAGGGCGGTCTCCTGGGTTCGCGTTCGCCGCCGGTTCTCCCCTGTTTTCGTCTGTTCCCGATGTTTGTCTATGCCCATCCGTGTACCCGCTTGGTTTGGTTCTGACTACTGCCGTCTCTGGCCTGACGCCTCACCTCCCATATATATACATCACATATATCGTTTATATGGCTCACTTTGTTTGAGGAGAGCTATGTGCATGAAGATGGGTAGACGAAGCAACAACTCGAAACGTCAGATCTTCAATGCATCTCTCCCGATGAACGCCTCCGTTCCAGTTAAGAGCATAAGAATGAAAAGTGTCAACTACCAGTCTACATTTCGGACCGGTGGCTCAAACGTCCACCTCTCTTATTGCAAATACTTTATAGAAAGTCCTGTATATTGGTGTGTGTGTGATTTGGAAGAACTGAGAAGAAGGGAGGAGTTGAAGAAGACAGACTGATAGATAATTGCTCTTGTAGGACCAAACAATCCTTGGCAGTGCTGTAAGTGGACGGCATAAAGACGCCATACTTAACCGGGCAGGAATTTACAAGCACAGCCTTTCATTAAGTGTAATTTTATCATGATTCCTTATATTATTCGCTTTGAATAGAGAGGTCCCTTCACTGCTGGAGGAGGAATTTGTGAAGCAGATTGCCCAAGTTCACAAGAAATCGCCAGCTCAGATTCTGCTTCGGCATGCGATAGAGCGCGGTATTACAGCAATCCCACACTGCCCGTTTGAGGAGGGTATTAAGGAAAATATCGACGTGAGCATTTTTCTCTCCTCTGCTCTTTATCATTTGGTAGGAAATTTTTATTTTCGTCCCTTCTTGATTTTGTGTTCCTCTTTTCGTGCGCCAGACAAACCGCGGTTAGACATTTAAAAAAGTGTTGACAGTCATCTCTGTTGTCACAGAAGATGACTGTCCGACATCAGGGCCAACTTCCGCCTTCTCTTCCCACCACCACCAACACCACCACCACCACCACCACCATCAACACCACCACCACCACCACCACCACAACTGCCATGTTTTTCCGCTCCCCCTCCTCCTCCCCTTCTCACTTCCACCTCATACTCCTCCTCACCATAATCGCTCCAACTCGGTCGGAACGCGCCACCTGTTTGACATATAATGTCCTCCTCCGTCTTCCTTTTTAAAATAATTTATTGGTTCTTTGCCAGGCGTCCTTGGTTAGCACATGAAACCTTAAGGCAAAATTTTTGTCTATTGTGTGTGCTGCCTTCAGCTGTCACGTCAGACCCAATAAATCACCAATCTCTGGTTATACCACATAACACTTGAGAGATTAGAGCGTTAGCCTGACTTGAACACAACAATCGCGCTGTTCGCGCTTCGGAGCATTCAAGTAGCGAAAATGTAAACCAACGGTGTCATGTGGGGTTATTTGTGTCGCCAAAATCAGAGCACCTGTCGTTCAGCAGTTGGCGACCAAACAGAAGCGGACGTGCGATGTTCGATGAACTTTGCAACGCCCTTGAGACACCTATAAACACTGTTTATTTTGTACATTTTCACTCCTCATGGAATTGTATTGGCCTGACGAAGAATTACCGAAAACACGTGTCAGCCAACTTGACTTTTAAATAGTATTACTAGGATGAAGTAGACAAAGTGATTAGCCCCAATTCCAGGCTACTTCCCGCGTAGCTGTAACCCGCCTCCTTATACGGACTAGTTTCCGGTCATCTTGGTTGTTCACGTTCAGCAAAAAGTACTACTTATACAGTTTTTATCTGGTATCGCCAACATGTTCGACACGCAAAGTACGACCCGCGAGAATTTGATTCACGTACACGGCAGGATAGAGGTTCAGTCAATAGTCAAAACGCCATCACGCGTGGGAATCGATTTGTGGTTGTAGTACATGCTCATCAAGTTTCCTGATCTTTCCTCCTGTAAGCGAATCGGCAAATGTCAGTCGTTGTACAATGCGTTTTGTTAGATACTGTGGGTTCTAACCTATTCTGGCCAACCGATAAACTAACAAAATTTTGCTGATTTTTCGTTAGATGAGGACGCCAAATTGTGATATGTGGTAAAGCAGCCGCTGTTATTTCATTCTGCCTGATTTTCATTCTTTTTCTTCCCTCTAAACACTATTTAAGATCTTCGAATTTTCTCTGACGAAAGAGGAAATGGAAATTCTCAACGCACACAGTCGCAACTGTCGTCTCTTTGACATGCCAGCGTAGGTCTTGTTTTCTTCCAGTAGTGCAACTAACCCGCCTTTATTTCAGCTCGGCGGGCCAACCGGAGTATCCATTCTAAAGTCGCTCTCTCCTAGCCCTCCAAGCCGGGATGGTTAATTTTCTGCTATAATATGTCCCTCTGGGGGAGTAAAAAGGGCTCTTCACCCATTTTCGACATTTCCTCAATTCTGCCAACCGCCAACCACTCTCAGCGTAGATTTGTAGTAAACCTTTACATGTGCAACTCTGCGTTGTTGTCTTCACTTGACTGTTTTGGTTCATGTTTACGAATTCCCAACCCCACCCCATCCCACTCCCCAGAATGTCTACTTCATTCGAGCTGAGGGTGACGAGCCTTTGGAACCAACGTCAAAAGTTCACGAAATACATCTATTTAACCCTCCAAATACAGAAGGAGACTGTCGAAAAGTCACAAGGACGCTCACAAATCGCTTGACTAGATTTACTGCTGCTGTTGAGGCTTGAGTTGGAGCGCTGTAGGCAGTCGTGCATGGTCTACTAATCTACTAGACAGAAGGAGATTGTCAACACAAAAGAGAGGGACTCTAAGGGTAATTACTGGCTTATTAGCCGTCATCAACCGACCATAATCGACCCAGATTAGAAGGATTCGGCGCTTGATCTCCTATCCTTTTGCTTATTGGTCCAACGGGTCTAACCAGTTATCCAGGGTCTGTTTGTCCTGGAACTTGAAATCGGGTGTGTTAGGCATGGTGGAAGTGCACTCACCGGTCAGTTCACGGGGTCTGCTCATACTGGACTCAGTTTAGTGCTCTCATAGGCAGTCGCATGGGGATCAGTAAGAGATCCTCGAGTTGAATTTCCATTCGAGTGTCTGTTGTCCGTCTTTCACCAGCATCAAGCCGAGTCTCCATCTGGTTAAAACTGTCTATAGATGATCAGATGAGGGAAGGCAACTGTAGCGCTTGCGTCAGTGTTCCGAGATCTGTGACCTGTCTGAGAGAAGGTTTATCTCATTATATTTGAAAGAGAGAGAGAGAGGGTAAGAGGATACAAGGTAGCCCTCGCAGTACGGTAAACTGCCAGCTGCCTGTCTTACGGGACCGGTGGTAATAGGGGCTATACGGGTGGGGCCTGTGAGTGGAGGCAAAAATGTGGCAAGCAGTACACATCTAAAAATGAAACCTCAAGGGTAGTGGAAGCCTGATTTAAATAAGATGAAAAATGCAGGGAAGGTTTGTAAATGGGCACGGATAAATAAAACGGTATGCGGAATAAATGCAGCCTTGCCCCGGATAGGAAAGAATGCCAAGGGAAAGTTTCCAACCAATAGGAATAAGGAAGTGTGTACTAAGGCCAGTCCGCGAATGTGCGATAGTACGATAACCATCGAAATGGACACAGGAGCACATGTGTCAAGTTGCGACCCACACGACGGAACAACGCAAGTGGAGTGAGTATTTAATGTGAAGAAATATCTTTGGTTGGATGAGCAACGTTGAAAGTAATAGTTTAGTGCCACTGTGGTAACATATGGGGAATAAAACTGTGGCGGTAGTTGTGCTCTGTACGTGAACGGTATGGAATTAAATGTAAACAGGAAATAGCACTTTTTGTAAAAAAATTCCGCTTTGGTCTGTCTTGCAGAGCCCAGTCTGGTAGAAGGCGACGAAAAGCACGACCACAAGTGAATATGCCGACGGATTATGGACGGATTCTTGAAATAATCCAGTCGCCCTACCTAGTGCAATATCTGCAACGGAAAGGACTCCTGACCCGTAGGGTCTTATGTAGGTGCCGGAAGGCCATGCCGTTACAAGTATTGCGACAACACACGGATGGTTATGCCTTTAGGTAAGGTCTGTTTACTGTGGTATACAGACCGTAGATGCGCCCGATGTGGAGATAAGAGAGCCCTGAGAGTGGGCTCAGTGTTTGACGGGAGGCACCTGACACTGCCTAAAGCGATGAAAACGTGTCTTTCTTTCATTGAAGGCACTGGGGTGACTAGATGTGCAGCCATAGTAGGAATAACTAAGAAGACCGCAGTTGACTGGTACGGTATATGGCGAGACGTATGCACAAAGGCCCTCCTACAAGAAGTAGGTCAACTCGGTGGGCCCGACATCGAAGTCCAAGTCGACGAAACGATGATTTCGCGACGCAAATACAATGTGGGGCGACTGAAGAAGCAGAATTGGATTATGGGTAAGTGAACAG